AATATAGACATTAATCAATAAAAGAAACGACTTAAAGCCTGGAGCCGACAATCTCCAACTGAAATTACACAGCTTGGACGTCAAAACAGTGTTTCTTTTTTAAACGCAGGCCTTCAGCAATTCTGTAGGGATGAATAAAAGTACTGTATATGCATGAAGCCGTTTTCGCCACTATTAATCCATTTGCCTACTAACAAATAGATAAAAGTAGAAAACCGTCTAGCGACACATGCAACGTAATGAACTGCAAAAAATTAAGCGACACAAATTCGAAAAAATTTAAACTCTAATATGTAAGATATCTAAATCTATAGGTAAGTCACAAAAAGGAAGACAACGCATAAAATGGTCTTTAATTAGGTGACATTTCGAACCAAGCCCGGTGCGTCTTCAGAGTGCTCTGAACACCAGTGTGATATTATGATAGTTGGAACGGAAAAGTAGGTTGCTAGTCCCGCCTTAAATGAGTACAAATTACGCCACACTTCTATTCTCCCAACAAATATCGCTCATTAGCGTTTAAAATGGCGTCTAAAGGATTAAAAGAAATGTACAATACACATACGCGAATAAAACCAAATGACTGAAATGATGAATTTCTTAGCAACTTCAACTAAATCTATTTGATGTTGCGGAATGAAAGTGAAAACAAGTAACAGATAAGGACGAAGGCATGGTTAAAACATGCCGCTAGGTCGAGTCAGAGTACCCTGAAGACGGCCTGAGCCTGGTCGGAAACGTCAGATGTTCCTAATTAAAGACCATTTTATGCGTTGTCTTCCCGTTTGTGATTTACCTAAAGATTGTATCACCTCCGCATAAAAAAATAATGTACGAATTTCAGATATGCAAATGTTAAAAATAATGTGACTGCAACGCGTACGCACCTGCATACCCATTTCACCAAGCTGTTTCTGTCTCATAGCCATGGCCATCTGCTTTTTCTTTAAACGAGTCTCCTCGCGAACCTCCTCGATCTTAAAAATGCAGGTCAAAGATTAGATGCGATACGTCAAAGAAATGGTAGACGAATTAGGAACCTTTTTTGCTACTTTCGGATTTTCACGCAGAGACTCCATTAGGTTCTCAGCTAGCGTTCCAAGGTGCTCTTCGCTAGATACAGGCTCCAAACGGTGTATGACCGGAACACAGTCAGACGCAACCAGCAGTTGTGTCGGTTCATGACCGTGGCAAAGGCCAGTCAGAAAACGAAGTACAAACTTGAGCATTGGTCGAGAAATGAATTCAGACCATTCCGGCGATTCAATTCTACAATAAACAGAAGCAATAAATTTGTGATAATTGGTGATATGTATGCGGCATACGTTATGCCAACTTTGTACAAAGGCGGACAAGTAGTCGAGAGGTAATCAATAGCATTCTTGACACATCCGTGCGCAATAAAGCTGTCCTTCAGCTGAGCGCCAAAGCGAGACAGCTGGAAAATAAAAAGTTCCGGTGACACATAATCGAATTGACAATATTATTCCTGTACCTCGATTCCCTTAACAAGCAAGCAGAGAGCTTCCATCTGATTGGTCACAGCAACTTTCTGCGATTCGATCCTGAAATGCATAAAGATATCAGTGATCATCTAGCATTGATTTTACAATGAAATGCAAATTACAAAAAAATTTATAAATTTTCATCAAGAATAATTACGTATTCACACATAATGACTTAATCGAATCGTCATAAGATAGAAAAAACTGTGTATATGTCCTTGGAAATGACTGCCTTATGATAACTCAGATTTATTACGAAATCTAGATGCGGCATGAGGGCAAGGAGTTATATATATATACGTTGTAACACTCTACCCATTCTAGTGTGACAACGTTAGAATACCATGTTGTCCTTGTACTACATAATTTAACGGCTTGCGACCAATTTCTCGGCTTATTGCGTCATACTGTTGATGACGAGAAAAGAGGCAATGCCATAATGCTTAAAAATTTTTAAATAACGAATACAATATTTAAGCAACAGGTAAGGCTTTTGTTGATGGCTTACTGAAGGAACTTGCAATACGGTCCAAACTCGCATAACAACAGATCCATTCGGCTTTTGGAACCAAGGCAGATGTTCGTCGCCGTCTTAAGAAGTGCTTCTCTAAGCGATGTTTGCGCTATGATATTTGGCTGTTTGACGAACTTAAGCAAAAAGGAAACGTATGCGGATGTATCGACCGCTCCAGCAAATCTCTAAAATAATAAAATAAAATTTAGAAGCAATAAAGTAATTTTATTTAGAAGCACATGCAATGAAATATCAAACAAGAATTCTGGTAAAAAAACAAGAAGCATGCATCAAGGTGAAAGGTACTACATTACGAGATATACAACTAAGAATAGCAGCCATCAGTTTAACAGATCTGAATGAGAATTTTCTGAATCATTCACTGAGTGGTGAGTAACGACTACTGATGCACTGCAACTGCATACCGGCAAATAAGAACAGAACTAATACGTACCACAAACTCATCCTCTGGCAAACAATTAGCCTCTGAAGATATGCGTTGCAGGACATTAATAATTTTTTCCGCAATCGGGTATAGTTCAGTATCTCTTGCAGACAAAACCTGCAGAATGAACAATAAAGCGCATTATAACAGAAAAAGACAGGTGGGTTCAAATTACCATTGTCAAACAGCTCAGCAATGCGGGCATCGTGGCGTTCTCGCTGCGGATCAGATGCAGACGGTTGCGCTTGATTTTAACGCCATAATCGAACAGCATCATCAGCGTCGTTAGTAGACAGTGACCGGCCTTTAGGTTCTTTAGATGCTGCAATCTGCGAATCAGATTGACCGAAGTAAGTCGAATGTCATCAGTGCATTTAAATATATAAGATTCTACCTGCTGAGCATTACAGAGAAAGCGTCGATGTCAGACAGAACCGCAGCCGCTCTGAAAACTTCTTCTTCGTTTAGTTTTCCAGCTAAAAATGTTGAAATTGATGCAGAACGCAGCGGCACCACAATGTCCAGACTGGCTAAGAAATGTTTTGGGTGCAACGTCTACCATCCGTCTTCACAGCCTGATGACATACATTTCTACAGAGTTCTTAGGAAAAGAAAGTAAAAATTTAGTCATCGTTTGAATGTCGTTTTTCGTCCACTTTCATGATTGATCTGTTTGGTACCCTTCTTTTCATGAAGTTACTAGCAATGTGCTAATCTCTGTTTCTAGGAAATCAGACTGGAGTGCCTAATTTTTAAAGGCAGGGTCTACAGCAACGTAGCGTGCAGTCTCCTCTTTCCTTCGGGCAAAGTGGTATTAATTTATCAATCTCAGGAGGAAGAAGGGTGACTCTGATAGGGGCTTGAACTCGGGACCTATCGGTTATGAGTTCGACGCTCGACCGACTGCGCAACCCTAATCTGAAATATCATGTGGTAAATTCCTAACGATTGCTTTCCTGCGAAATCGAACTTGGAACCTTTGGAGTTCGTGACATATCTCTTAGACAATTGTGCCAATAGGCCAATAAGTTCTTAAGGCTCCTCTTTGAATTTCTAACTTCCCTTATGTTTAGGAAATGCTTTAGCAAGGAAGGTTAGACTTTTAGTAATGATAAAACCGATAAAACAGTTAAAACTAACGAATGCTACAGCTCTTAGTAGATTAACCGCTGTAATTAAATAAAAAGAAATCACGCGTACAGTTACAGGCGCTATGCAGATATCAGTACAATTACGTACACCCGCCCTTTTCAAGAGTTTCGATGAATTCCTCCGTAGCATCGCCTAGCAGTCCGCGCATACGGTATATGATGAGCATCGGTTCGGTGGTATGAAGGGGCTGCCATATCTTTCGGTAAACCTCCATCACTGGAAGATCCAGCGAAATGATCTTATTGTTGACCAGGAGCTAAAATGATCGAATTTAAGAAATATTCCTAATAATTACCAAAACAACAATTAGCCTTTTTCGAACTGAAAACTTTTCAGCCAGAAAAATCGTCTGTTTGACGCATAACGAAGTGGCGCAGAAGCTGAGAGACACTATGGAGAAACGAAACGAAAAACAACAAAAAAACCCATGCTAGTGGTCAGACATTCTGAAATTCATAAACCCGTCTCGACAGATGCCCTGACATCGTCCGTTAGATAGACGTGGTTAATATTAATTTTATGAGTAGGAGGAAACAAAAGTACATTAGAAAATGCCAAAATATACAACAGGCAACGCCTGAAACTAGACACGAATCAGTAAAGTGACAGTAATAATGATGGAACAAAACCGATCTACAGTCATGAAGAACTGAAGAGCGGTGCCAAGCTAACAGTAGTCAAATCTGTTAGTGCCAATCATGACCCATAGTCATAAGTGTAATCTTAAGCAGAAACAACCCTTGAAAAGTTGCTGCTGTGACAAAATTTTACAGAAATTCAGAATACGACAATCTGACCACTCTCGTGTGAGCCGGTTTTTAAAATCTAGTGATCGTAATTAAAAGTACAGGGGTATGCACTATAGACAACGTAAAGAATACAACAGAGTTTTACGAAAGTTACAGGGCAGGTGACCAAAGGGCCCAGTGAAGTCTAGACTACAACGGTACACTGAAACATTGCACTGTGGAGTTGTGGACTCCAGTCGGTGCACAGTTTGACTTTAAGGTGGAAGGACGGAAAAAAAATCCCTACTGAAATTGTCCTCCCCTGTTCAGCCTATAAGTAGTCACGGGCTATGAAAATGAAGGAAAAACAAAAATGAAACCGGAAAGAAATCAAAGAACTGACGCGCCATACTTCCATTCCGGTATCATCTTCCAACAACGAAACCAGCTCACAATCTCGACAAATCTTGTTTTTAATATCTCGCATCAAAGGTCCCATTTCCGAGTCACTTGAGCTGTAGGGATTGCCGACCATACGACCTTGAAGAAAATCTTCTTGCGCTTGATCTTTCTCGATCGTGATGCTGAACTCGCCAACATCCTCCTCTTCCTAGAAACGAACACAATCACATGTGAGAAACGAAGGAAGTCATGAGTCAATCAATGGCTACTTCACCAAACAAACGATTAGGACCATAACTTAAAATCAAAATGCGAATTGTAAACATAATAACTGTACTCCAAGAAAGTAGCTTACTTATATTAATTGGAAAATTTTCAAGTATGAAATAGTCAAATGGTTTTAAACAGTATGCTTGCATATATCCAACTGTCTAATTACGCAAGTCAACCACACCAAAGCTTCGAAAGATACATCCGCGTATAAAAAAGCTGTCTAAAAACATAAATCGACCAAACAGACTGGACATTTAACATCTTTGCCATCTGAGCCATCTAACAGATCGGCCAATAATTGAGGCCATTAAAGGGAGAAAGAAAAATCTCCACGAGAACGCCGCCGACGGTGAGAGCTTACAGACGCAAACTGGAATATATCCTCAACCAGAGGGAAGGAGCAGAAGTTAGCAGATGAGGCCACAAAGTATCAACTCCACATAGTTGGAAACTCGTCAATGACGAGCCAAGATTCTGGAACTCTAAACCTCGGCGGGCGGAAGCTATTCTACTAAGGTGTCGATATCACGACGCGCGCAGAGGCCAGGATTGGTCTTCCGGTAGAACAAAACCTAGCTAACAGTATAAGTGAATGGCAGCCTATCAATGGAAGAGTTTCATCCCTCTCGCAAGCTAAAACTTGCTAAAGCAATAACCTTGTTACAGGTCTATGCACAGAATTTAGAGGGAAAATATGACTCCTTCCTTCAGGAAGTGGAATGTGTTTGGTATGTAGTGCCGAACACGAAGTGCCTCATACTCATGGACGATTTTAATGCGCATGTCTGAGTAGCGGAAAAGTGGAAAGGCGTGATTGGAAAGAACGGCTTTAGCGACTTCAACAAAAACGGCATGAAGCTGTTGCGATTTTGTGCAAACACGGACAGTCCATTATGAACACTTTCCTCGAGCAATGAAAAGTGCATCAGTATGCCTGATATAGGGAAGCTGATTAAAGGAAGACGATCGAATTCATAATCGTATCGTCTGACCTGCGAAGCTCTGTAATGTATTTCGCTTTAAGAGAGACGCAGAGATATCAACCGATCACCACCTTGTTGAAGGCACGCTACGCTGTGAGAAATGGAGACCCATGTGAAGATCTGGCGGGAGAAGCAGAACCCAAATGAGAAAACTATCTTCGGTGGATCCGATAGCACTTGCAAACAACATTGCACGACGGTTCCAACAGATCCCAGTGATGACTACTGATGCTGAAACCGTGTGGGAGCTATTTAAGAGCGGCATTCTCGGAGGTGCCGCCGAATGCTGCAAAATCAACGGATTGGCCTGTCGCCTAGAGGTCAGAAAAGAATTTCCCGGTGGACACCAGAAGAACAACAGGCAGTTAAAGCGAATAAAGTTGCACTCAAGAAATGGCTTGGAAACAAGCAGCCATATACACGCGTGCAATATATCGAGGCACGCAAGGCGTCAGCCATAACAGTGGCAAAAGCCAAGGCTGATTCCTGGGAGAAGTT